TCATAGTCGGCTTCTTTGCAGAAATGTTGACAAGCTAATTCTAAAATTCATGTGGAAATTCAAGGGATCCAAAATAGCCAAAACAATTTTGAAAAAGAAGAACAAGGCTGGAAGACTCACAATTCCCAATATCAAAACTTACTAAAAAGTTACAGTAGTCAAGACAGTGTGGTGATGGCATAAGGACAGACACAAAAATCAGTGGAATTGAATTGAGAGTCCCAAACTAAATCCATACATCTATAGTCAATTGATTTTTGACAAGAGTGCTGAGAAAATAAAATGGAAAAAGAATAGCCTTTCAACAAATGAGGCAAAAACCTAAATGTAACAGCTAAAATCATACAACCCTTAGAAGGAAACAGATATAAAATCTTTGTGACCTTGAATTAGTCAATGATTTCTTAGATACAATACCAAAAGTAAGAGAAAGAAAAGAAAAAAATTGGACTTCATCAAAATTAAAGACTATAGTGCTTCTAAGGTTATCACTGAGAAAAAAAAAAGATAATCCACTTTATGGGAGAAAACATTTGTAAACCATATATCTAAATACAGATCTAAGGGATCTATATTTACAATACAGATCTGTAAATACAGATCTAAGGGATCTGTATTTACAATACATAACTCAGATCTCAATAATAAAAAAGACAAATTAACCAATTAAAAAATGGGCAAAGGATCTGGATAGACATTTCTCCAAACATATACAAATGGCCCATGAGTACATGAAAAGATGCCCAACATCATTAGTCATTAGGAAACACAAATCAGAACTACAGTGAGATACCACTTCATACTCACTAGGAATGGCTATAAGCAAAAAGACCTACAATAACAAGTGATGGCGAGGATGTGGAGGAACTGGAGCCCTTGCTAGTGGGACCGTAAAGCAGTGCAGTCACTTTGGAAAACTTAAGTTAAACATAGACTTACCACGTGATCCAATAATTTTACTCTTAATATGTACCCAAGAAAAATGAAAACATAGGTCCATGCAGAAACTTGTACACAAATGTACATAGCAGCATTATTCACAACAACCAAAAGGTTGAAACAACCCAAATGTCAATCAAATGATGAATGGATAAAATACAGTACAACCACACAATGAAATATTACCTGTCAATTTAAAAAATGAAGTGCTGACACACGTTACAAATGGATGAATCTTGAAAATACTATGTTTAGTAAAAGAAGCCAGTGATAAAAGAGCACATATTATAAAGTTCCATAATAAGAAATGTCCCTAGGCAAATACGCAGAAAGCAGAATTAGCAGTTGCCTAGGGTTGGGGATGGGTTGTGGGAATGTGGAGTAACCGATATAAATAGGTAAGACGTTTCTTTTTAGGGTGATGGAAAGTTCTAAAATTAGATTGTGGTGATGGTTGTGTAACTATAAAATGTATTGAATTGTACACTTAAAACAAGTGGATTTTATGGTATGTAAATTATATCTCAAAAAAGCTGTTTAACAAAAAAAGACATTGCAGCTTCCCCATTCAATCACTTGTTCTGGGGGAGCCAGCTGTCATGTCATGAGGACATTCAAGCAGCCCTATGGAGAGGTCCACATAGCAAGGAACTGAAGCATCCTGCCAACAACATGTGAGTGAGCTGTCTTGGAAGGGAACCTCCTACCCCAGACAAGTCTTCAGGTGAATGCAGTCGCGGCCAACATCGTGACTAAAACCTCATGAGAGACCCTGAGTTAGAACCATCAGGCTAAGCAACTCCTGAATTCCTGACCCACAGAAATCATGTTGCTTTAGGCCACTAAGTTTTGGCATAATTTGTTGCACAACAATAGGTAACTAATACCCCTTCCTTGACCCTCCCCTCAGTGTTAGGCTCTCTCTCCTAATGACAGACATCTAAGGAAATGTCTTCCCAGCAACCCTTCCTCTTCTAAGAGTTTAGTTTCCACCCCCATCCATATGTTCACCATAGTAGCTGTCATGTTAGTAGAACATGATCCCATTCCCTGGCCTTAGTTGAACAATCCAAAAGTAGGCACCTTACCAAAGCCAGGCTAATAAAGTCCTTCGCTAATATTTTTGTACCTGAAGCTGATAAAAAGGCAGTGTCTCTCTGGTACCGAGAGCTGTAAGATATAAAACTTGGGGTCTGTCAATAGCCATGTTCCTTCCCACGTGGAAAAAGGTGAACAGCAGTGGAGAAGAATGAAGCCATCACATAGAGACAAGCAAAGAAGCAAAGATTCAAGATGGAGAGAGTACAGACAGCATCAGTCTCTGGTTCCAGGGATTCCTGATGCAACTCAGTCCCTTCAGTGGGAAGACCACATGTGTCTTGTAACCCCAGCATATAAAACAGAACTCAGTACATAAGAGGTAATGAAATATTTATTGAATAAATGAGTAAGATAACCCTTCCAATAGTACCCCCTCTTTTTTGTTGCTATGGTTCAACAGAGTTAGATTTGAAACCTAGAAGTCCTAAACCTCTTCTTTGCTAACTTTATACTCTGTATATCCTTCTATTATTACATTATGACAATATATCCTAATTACTGGTTTATATGGCCTCCTCCCCTACCATCAGAGGGCAAGAAATTTTCTCATTTTTTGTATCATCAGTACCATTTAGCCTAGAAAACAGAAAGTGTCAAGAAATGTTTAACTGATCTAATCAATCCTTTACTCTTGTGATCTTCAGATTTGCATGCAACCAGCATCTCCTGAGCGCCTAATCTGTGCCAATCAAACCAACAGTCTCATTCAATTTTCACACTCGGTAGATGAGGGAAGTGAGTGTGAAAGAGTTGAATTGACTTGCCCAAGTCTACATAGCTAGTAACTGTCAGAGCTGGGATTTGGAACCAGGTCTTCCAATTTCATGTCCAGGGATGCCATGCTACTTGGTCTACACTATTGGAACACCTTCCATGTTCTTACATGTAACTTGTTGCCTCTTCACTCATCCTACAGCAGACAATACAATGTTGAGCACAAACGGGCAATCGCCAGCTGCTGACTTGATATGACTATATGCTTGTCCACATTTTGAGAAGCAAGGGACCACATCAGATCAAATTACTCTGGTGCCTATTATAGCATCATGTGCTGACAGGGGCCCAGTTGGCTGAAGATGAGAGAATCTTTCAAGCTATATTTTAACAGTGTTTTTGACCACTATATCCGGTCAGTTGTTCCAGCGTTCAGCAATAAATCAAAGTGACTGTTCATTTCCTTTGACAGTTAACAGTACTAATGAATTCAGTATAATCTCACCATCCATCAGAAAAATTTCTAAAATGCAAGCTTGAAGCTGATGATTCACAGAGTAGAGAAGGGGAAATAAAGCAGTTCTCATTGTTTTCTACAAAACTAGCATTGTAAAAAAATTTTGAAAAACCAGCATTGTTTGCAAAATCCAGAAACTGAGCAGTCGGTTGACTACTAATAAAGTAGGTTGCTCCTTGGTCATTTAGCAAAAATCTGCTTGCTGCACCACTGTCAATTGCTGACGAGCATATGATTTCAAGTAGCTTTTGCTGTACAGAACGAGTCTACATACATAAATCAGTGAATCGTTATGTAAGAAAAGAAAAAGAAATTCAAAATTTCCACACCAGAAAACACCTGACACTGAGCCTGGCAAAAATCAGATATTAATACTGAATAAATGTTTACCGAATAAATTATTGAATAACCCTTCGAAAACATCAGTTGTCTATTAAATTGAGAGAGAAAAATCAAACCAGCCAAACATACACAGGTTACATTAGGAACTCCAAGAAATTATGGAGTAACTGGCTCAAGATATATAACAAATTCACAATGACCAAAAAAAAAAAAGATTTTAAGCCAATGTTTAAAAATGTTGAAATAAGTAAGCATGCATTTGACATCCGTCTTAAATTAAGTCACCACACTGGCACTCAGTGTAACGCTAACCAGCAATAACAAAAAAATAAAAGAACAGGTGACAGATCTAACTTTGCAATCTGTTCAAAACAGTAACAAGGTGGTTGTTTCAAGGCACGCACTTGAAACCTGCTATTTAAGCTCTGTGTCTACACAGTAAAAGAATGTGCCAAAGAAGCTGAATCAAAAGCCTTAATAAACACAAGAACATTTAATAATAATAATGAACAATTCATTAAAATGTATTATCTGTTCAGAAGTGCAAAAGGATCTCTAATAGGAGACTGGGCTCCACAAATATAAACCCAACCTATACTGATTAGTCCGAATAAGCATTTTCCAAAATGAACAACCCATAACGAATAACGTAACAAGTATAAAGCCTGGGACGACTCTAGTGATCGCAAACATCAGAACGTGAGCGCTTAAGCTGTATAGTTAGCCGCTTTTACCTAGAGCTTCAAATTTACTGAGCCTTCTTCTCAAGAGACCTTTGAAAGAAATTTAAGGCCAAGTATAGTATTTCATGATGATCGCAAATAAAGGCACTCAGTCTCTGGAGCCCGCGATCCCTCTTTACGTCACTAGAGACTGGACTCTTGAAAAGGCCGGGGGAAAGCCACCCTTTCATCTTGCACAGGACCGCAGCACCTTAGGGACCCCTCTAGGGAAGCTGAGGAGCGGAGAAGTGAGTCATGCTCCAAAACTAAGCGTCGTTCACCCTACACTGAGGAAGGCGCACCTTTCACCCTAGGCAGGACGCAGTGACAGATGTGGCACCTGTGCGGGAAGGGGGCGCGAAGACATCCTCAGAGTCAGTGCCAACAGGCAGCTGTGGGCTGCTCCGCGGGCCCCAACGCCCCGCGCCCGCCGCTCATTCCCGGGCTGGGGAAAACTTTCCGCCAGCTCCCCTCGGGCGCGCCCCCACATCCCGGGACCCCCGGGCTCCCGCCCCGTCCGAGAGGCCCCGCCCAGGGCCCGCCCCCCGCGCCCTCGGCACGGCCCCGTGGGCACGGCCCCGTGACCCCAGCCCGAGCAGACCCCTGCGTGCCCTCAGGGCGCGCCCCCGCGCCCAGTCCGGCCGGCAGAGGGCGGGGTCGCTCACCCGTCCGCAGCTCGTGCTTGACAGTGAGGAGCTGCTCTCCCCCGGCGCCGCCGTCCCTGCTGGTGTCTGTGGCGCCGCCACCGCCGCTGCCGCCCTCCTCCTCCATCTTCTCCCTTTCCCGATCCCGCGGGGTCCTCTGAGGGGACCCGGGAGACAGCGGACGCCCGGGCCCTCACAGCTCCCGCTGCAGCCCCAGGAGCCGGGGTGCGGCGGCTCCAGAAGTCGGACGCCGAGACGAGTAGCTTTCCCGCTCTGGCCGCACGGCTAGCTCCTCCGCCTCCTCCCCCTTCGGCGGGCACCGCTAGTACCGCGCAACCAAACCGCCCCCTGCTTCGCCGCCTCCTCCGTCAAGCTGCTCCGCCCACAGCCAGCAAGGTAGCCACAGCCATTCGAGCCGCCATCGCTTATTGGGCAGAGGGCGCGCGCATCTGTCAGCGCCGGCTCCCATTGGACAGTCCTCTCTGACGCCTCACGGACCGCCCCGCCCCTCTCCTCGAATTGTTGTTGCTTGGCGGAGTGGCAGGAGAGGGAGGAGCGCGGCCGCTCCGATTGGTGAGACCGGAGTTCTGCCCCGCCCGTCTCCGCTGGTGCGCACGCGCAGTCAGAACGTTCCCGTCCCAGACATTCCCAGAACGGTCACACCCCTCATTCCCCAGCTTCGATCTGTTAGTAAACAGCGTCTAGTAGTCAGGAGGCGCTCGGGATCTGTGATTGGCTATTGCCGAAAGAGGCGGGGAGAGCTGATTGGAACGTTTGGTCCGCCAGTCACCGTGGACAGAGGAGGAGCTTAGAAGAAAGCACTTCTCACGCACGTGTTTGCGGACGTACCTGATGGTCCCTGGCAGCGATCCACAGGTGTGTGACCAGCTGGACGACAGGGTGTCTTAAAAAGGTGTTACTCGCCCTAGTGAGTCCTAAACAAAGTTAAGTGGAGTTCGTGCTTAAGTACAGGTAGTTCTTAGACGTTTCAAAAATTCCGGCTCACCGTGAGGACTTTTGCAAAGGATAAACATTTCCATTTTGTACAAGACGCATCCTAGGCACCAAAAGGCTACAGTGATTAATAAAATAGGATACAATCCCTGCCCCTAAGCAACTTTCAATAGAACAGGAGAAACAGACGATCTGTGAAATACATAGGAAACCGTAAAGCAGTATTAGAAATAATACAGTCGTACAAACTGTTAAGAGAACTGTACAGATGGCAATAATTATTCTCAGTAGAGGAGCTGGGGAAGGCTTTTAGGGCAAGGAGGCATTTGAGATAACCAGCTTAAAAGGATGGGTGAGATAGAAATACCAGCAGCAGATACAGAGATAATAACAGTGAGCTAGGCCTGGAAGTGGAGAAGGCAAGGGTAGGTTAAGTGATTGATAAGGCTGGATGGAAGTATGACATAAGAGACACAGCTAAAAAGGTAAGATTCCATAAGATAATGAAGAACCTGACCACAATGCTAAGCAGTGCAGATTTTATTTAGTACAAGATGGGGAGCCTCAAAGAATAGCTACGATATCAAAGCTGTTCTCTTGGAAGTTAGCTTCGGTTATAGTGAGAAGATGGACTGAAGGGAAGAGGGGAAAGATGGCACAGCAAGAATACTTTTGCAAGGATAGAACTTATGGGAGTTTCCCATGAGAATGGGAAAAGGAGGGGATTAAAGATGGACACTTGGATATAATTCACATAGAAGTGAACTTTTAAACCAAGCTGGGATTAGGTCAGGAGGTCAGCAAACTGTTTTTCAAAGAGCCAAATAGTAAATAGTTATTTTAGGCTTTGCAGGCCATGTGGTCTCTTTCACAGCTATTCACCTCTGCTATTGCAGTGTGAAAGCAGCCCTAAACAATAAGTAAACTAACCGATATGGCTGTGTTCCAATAAAACTTAATTTATGGACATTGTAATTAAATTTAATACAAGCTTCACGTGATGATATATTCTTTTAATTCTTTTCAAACATTTAAAAATATAAAAACGATTCTTAGCTCTTGGGCCATTAAAAAAACAGGCAGGAAAACAGATCTGGCCTGCAGGCCATAGTTGGCAGACTCCTGGGTTGGACTGCCATGGAAGAGAAAGCAGAGGAGCCTCAGCAGCTGCTTCAGGCTGCTTCAGCTCCCTGGGCTTACCTGCCTGGAATATTCATGCCACTAAACCATGACTGCCTACTTGTCTTTCTCCTCCACAAGTAGTGTGTTGTTTGGCGCCAGGAAATGACTGTGTGCAATGTTCATTTGTTCACTCAACAACTTTTATGCCGGTTATGAACCAAGTACTATGATGGATACTAGAGACACAGGGGAGCGAAACAGACGCACTCCTTGCTCTTGTAGAGCATACAGTCTTGAAATGGAAATCAGTATTAAATAATCACATAAAGGAATGTAAACTTTCCATTGTGATCATGCTGTAAAGGAAAATTATAGGGTGCTGCAATAGAATATATCAGGGAGGCCTAATTTAGGTTAGAGGAGCTTGAAGGCCTTTATAAGGAAGTCTTATTTAAGGTAATTCTTTAAAGATGAGTAGATTTTAACCAGGATGTGGCAGAGATTGGCCTGATGCTCACCAATCTCATTTCCTCTTCCTGGACACACAGGAAAAGTACATTATTTTTTCCTTTGCAGTTAGGCCAGGGTCATGTGACTGTGATCTGGCCGACGGGGTGTGGGCACATGCAATGTGTGCCATTTCCAGGCCTGGCCGCATGCATATCACTCATGCTCTCTTCTCTTTCCACAGCACCTACAAGGGCCACATGTTGAATGTGGGCATGCCACAATTTTAGATGCACCCTGAAACCCTGCATCTCCACTTGAAGAAGAGCCACCCTGACCTCCTTCAGACTGAGATGTGAGCAATAAATAAATCTTTTTAGGCATAAGCTACAAACATGTTGGGGTTGTTTGCTACCAAAGCAGAATCCAGCCTACCCTAACAATTTCACAAGTGAATTGCTGGGGCGAGAAAATTCTAGGAAGATGCAGATGCAACGTCCTGAAACAGGCAAAGAGCCTATTGTATGTTAGGGACTGAGAGAAAGCAAATGGGGCCATAACACAGTAAGCAAGAGATGAGGTGAGGGAGGCAGACAGAGACCCAATCGTGCAGTTTGTGATAAGCCTATTAGTAATTAGGGAGTTTTTCCTGTGTGAAGTCAGAAGCAATGGAAGGAATTGAGATGGGAGAATGATAGAATTGGGGTACTATTTTCAAAAGGTACTGTGGTTAGTGTTTGGAGACTGGGCTGGAGGGAGCAAGAAGGGATACAGGGAGACCAGTTAGGAGGTTATCACAGCAGTTTGGACAAAAGATGATAGCAGGCATTGTAGATATGGAAAAGAAAAGGATGGTGTCTAGATATATATTTTGGACTTCATGAAGGATTGATGTCATGGGCCAGGATAAAAGGGGTGTCTGGAACAACACCAAAGTTTCTAGCAGGTGCAACTGTGTGGATGAAAGAGGAAGGTGGTACTGTGTAATGAGGGGCTGAATTAAAGGAAGAGCACATAGAGAGAATATCAAGAGTTTAATTTTGAGACATTCAATGCCAATATTAAGTAGCTATGTGGTTATATGAGTCTGGAACTCTGCAGAGAGGTCTAGGATTAGAGATATAAATTTAGAAACCACTGGCACATACAGTATTTGAGGCCAGAGTTATGAATAAGATTACCGGGGTAGAGAATGTGCAGAAGGAAAAGAGAAGAGGAGCCCAGGACTGCACTCTAGGAATTTCAACATTGAGATGCCGGAATGAGAAGGGGGAGCTGGAAGCGCAGGAGGAAAACCCAGAGAGTTTTGTATTTTGGAAGCCAAAGTGTTTCAAGAAGGAGGGAGTGGTCAGCTAGGTTACATGCCCTGAGAGGTCACATGAGATGAAATCTGGGAAAGTTCCCATACATTTGCCAACTTGGGTGCCACTGGTGACAATTTCCTAGGCAATTTTGGTAGAGCAAATGAGAGGTGAAGGAGTAGAAACAGTGTGCATGAACATGTTTTTCAAGGCGTTAGCCTCTGAATGAAAATAAAGAAATGCCCTAGCTGAAGGGATCCAGGGAGGTGGGGTTTTTTTTCTACTTTTTACTTTCAGATAATTTTTAAGTTGCAAAAACAGTACAGAGTTTCCACACACCCTCCACCCAGCTTTTCCTGAGGTTAATATGTTACATACCAAGTTCAATCATCAAAACTGAGAAATTAACATTGGTACAATATTCTTAAATAAACGACAGACTACAGATTTCGCCACTTGTTTCATAAAAATGGTCTCTGTATTTTTAGATGGTTGAAAAAGAATGAAAAGAAGAGTATACCGTGACACATGAAGGTTATGTGAGATTCCAATTTCTATGTGCCAGAATCCAATCCATTTCCCTACATTACATTTAGTGGCCATGGCTCTTCAGTCTTCTCCAATCTGTAGCAGTTCCTTAGTCTTTCCTTGCTTTTCATGACCTTAACTCTTTTGAAAAGTACTGGTCAAGTATTTTTGTAGAATACCCTTTGCTTTGGTTTCATCTGATGTTTTGTTCGTGATTAAATTGAGGTTACACATTTTGGGGCAAGAGTACCATAGAGGTGACATGCTCTGTCAATTCATCGTATTGGGGTACAAGAAGTTTATATGCTTATTACTTGTGATGTCAACCTTGAACACTTGGTTAAGGTGGTGTTTGCCAGGTTTCTCTAAAATTATTTTCCCACTGTAATTAATAAATATTGAGAGGGTGTGTGAGATACTTTTAGACTATGCAAATATTCAGTTTCTCTTTAAGCTTCCGCCCACTGGTTTTAGCATCATTTGGCGGATCTTGCCTACAATAGTTATGACTGTGGTATTCTAATGGTAATTTTCTATACAGTTGTTTTTTAAGATGAGAAGTACTGGAACTTGTTTGGGTGGTGATGGGATGGTGATGGGGGAGAGGCTGGAGAACCAATGAAGACAATCTCTGAAAAAGTGGGCGGGGCTGGGAGCCTGAGCTGTCTGTGAGGTTTGCCTTTGATGGGAAGAGGCCCCAAGTCCTTCATTGTGGCAGGAGAGTGGGAAGAGGGGCTGGTGGCAGGCATGGACCAGCTTATAGACTTGAGGGTACGTTGGTTATCTCATCTCAGTATCCCTGGCATCTAGCATTGGCTCTAGCCCAGAATGGGCTTTCAGTAAATGTTTGTTGAATGAATGAAAAGTGAATGAGAGAAAGTAGGAAACCTACGCTTAAAGAGTAGGTATAAAAAGACTAGCTAATTGTGGGTATATCTCAGTAAAGCAGGAGTAGGCCCTATGAGCTGATCCCACTTGTAGATGGTTAAAAACCACACAGTTGTGCACACGTGTAGCAAAGAGCTTATTTCAGAGATTCAAGCTCTGTGCTGAGGGACAAAGGAGCTGGGATGAGATGGATTTGGGGTCTGAGGATAGTGGAAATGGTTTGGAACAGTCACTGTGGAAAATAAATATTGTGTATTGTGAGCCAGCTTGGATGATTGCTGACTAGCCCTGGGGGCTCAGGTAGAGTCTGAAAGCCTGAATCAGGACAGTTAAACGTCTTTTCTCTAACAATTTACACTCCCCCTCAGGTTTGGAGGTTAGCAGTTGGGCAACAACCTGGTTGAAATCAGTGACCCTGGGGCCCAAGCAGGGTGAGAGGGCAGTGAAGCCAGCAATAAACTGCTGGCCTGGGGGAACAGGGTGGAGTCCAGAAGCTGGAGCTCACATAGGTGAGTACAACAGCACTTCTCAACCTTGGCTGCACATTAGAATCACCTGGGGTACATAAAAAATAAATATTTCCATCTCTGAAAAGTATGAATTAATTGGTCTGAGGCAGGGCCTCGACTTCAGGTTTTTTTTTTTTTGTAACTCCCCAGGTGATTATAATGTAGAACCACTTTTGCAGTGTGCAACTCTTAATGTACAACCATTAGAGCAGAGGATGGTAAGTAAGAGCAAGTTGGAGTTTTGAAACAACGGCAACTTTTCAAAGGTAGTGATGATGCTGGATAAGGCAGGAAGGAAAATTATAAATCAGTGGCTGAAAATGCCAAATCAAATGGGTGGGCGGGGCTTAACTGATTGGGCAGTGACACTAGAGGATGGCTTGGAGTCAAAGGAGGAACCGTGCTGAAGAGGAGCGAGATAGCGGACAGGGCTCTGTAGGTAGCTGCTAGAATTGAGTGAAACATCCCTGCTCCCTCCTGCCCTGAGAGATGCACAAGTAGGGAGGGTGGGCCTGTCCATGACAGGGCTGGGAAGGGGAAGATATCCAGGAGAAAGTCAGGTTTCTGCTAAGGCTGGGAAGAATAATAGAGGAAAAAGCTTGAAAATAGGTTTGTTCCCCTTAGGAACGGCCTTTCACCAGGCTTGCTGGTACCTGGTGCCAGAATGGGGGTCCCTGCTCACCCCATTATCTTGTGGGCCTGTGTCCATGGCATGGCACCTTGCTACGTGGTCTTATCCTTAGTGTGGGGGTCTGGAGCAAAGTGGCAGGCGGAGGGCCTTGCTCGGTGTGAGCCCTTAGGACTTAATGATCCCATTATTCATGCACTGTGAGCTGGAATCTCCTCACCTTTGGATTTGTAAGAATTGGGAAACTCCAGAGGCTCACCACCTCACACTCCCCTTTAATGGGCTCTATCAAAACACTCAGATGTATACTCAGAGAAGAAAGAACTTCTTTCAAAACGTCAAAAATGACATTACCAACATCTTGATTCTGTTTTTGACCCTGTCAGAACCTTCATGTGTGGTATAGATCCAGGAAATTTAAGGGACTCTGTAGCTGCAGAGACCAACAGAGTCACGGAGTGTGAAGTTCATACTCTCAGAAGGCAGCCATCCATGGCTGAAGTGGATGTGTTGCCACTGTTCTCAAGAAGGATGTTGGGAAGGCACACACACACACCTTGAGTTCACAATTGGGAAGGAAATTCTGTGAGGGGGGAGCAGCATTTAGACAGTTTTCTCACTCTACTTTCTGGTATCCCATATTGAACCTACAAAGCTTAGAAACCCTCCAGATGTGGCAGATATGAAGCACTTGACTGAATCTGAGGATCCGGTCTGAGATCTGGCTATGTGGACCTGTGCCGACCAGTGCACAGCTGGGGGAGACTGTAGAGGCACGCACATCACAAATATATCCAGGTAAAGATAGCAAAGACATTTTTACTCCCTTCCTTCTCACTCATACCCCCCCCTCCAAATCTTCCGGAAGCTACAAAAAGCAAAACAAAGCAAAAACACAGAAAAAACCCCATTTTTAATGAAACAAGGAAACTCTCAAAACCTCAAACCACAAACCGTGAAGTATGCCTGCCAAATACTGTAAAAATATGTGCTGAAATTGGTGAAATGCTGAGAGCCAACATACACTGCCTCCAGGCTTGAGCCGGAAACATGTTTTCTTAGATGTTGGTATCATACTCCCAAGGGACCAAATCATTGATCCTGGGATTGGAGTGGGGTTTCCCAAAGGCAAGGGGGATCTTATATTACTGGGGGAACAGGAGATAAATTTAGGTGGTACACGGACAGTCATTTAATTATATCAACTAGCATAATGAAAAAGTGATTCATTTAGAGCTTGCTTTCATTTGTGATTACATCAAGAAGAAAGTCTTGGTTTGGTACCAATGGCCTTTAACTTATTTCTAATTTGTACTAACCTCTCTTTCTAACCAGAAAAATATAGACCTCAGACAACTGTATCTAGCTAGAACTTACTATCTTCGTTGTGTTTTCATTGTATTTATTTTAATAGTTACTTCCTATTTATGGCAAGTGATACTGGCTTTTCATTTATAATAGTGATATGCCTCCATTTTAAATAAGTAAAAATTGGGAATTGATTCAAAGAAGAATGTTGGTTATACCAGAGAGGACATGCAGATGAGGCAAAAATTGAGAAGTGGTACCCAAATGACTGAAATTTAGATTTGAATAATAGGATCCAAGGACCCCAGAGGAGAAACAGGTAGTGTTCTTACAACAAAAAACAAACAGGATGATAGCAGGAAGGTCAACATTAAGGAGAAAGCAGGCTGATGTTTATTTATTTCTATTGTATGTGACCTGGCCTCCAAACCAAAGAAGTCTCCTGGAGACGAGAGGGTGAAGGGGATGGAGAGAAAATGGCTAGATTATTGCCCAGAGAGCCTAGACTGAGAGGGCCCTGCTGAGGCCCTCAGGAAGCTCTTCAGCACCCAAACCTGAGTATCTAAGAGACATTCTTTATGGAGAGGAAATTAACAGATTTGGAATCACACTAAAGTAAAGCTACCAAGTGCCTCTGTGCCCTTCTTCCACCCCTTCCCATGCTATTCTTTAGCAAGTAATTATCCATCTCATTGGAGAAATTACAAAAGTTTTTTTAGAAATCTCAAAGAGGAGGTTCAGGGGTACAAATAAGGAATTACATAGCAACAAAAGAGGATAAAACTGAGCGGCAGAACTCAAGAAGGGAAAGAGTGGAAAGCCATTTTAGAATCAACCAAAAATAAAACGAACACAAGTAAAAACACAATGGAACAATACAAAAAAGGACAAAGAAACGTTTTAAATTATTTAAAAATTTTATAGTTACAGAAAATAAACAATGGAGATCCAATATATGAATAATTGGCATTCCTGAAGAAGTGCCCAGGATAAATGGAGCAATAGAAGAAACTTAACTGAAACGAAGACTTGAGTCAGCAGGTAGAAAGCACACACTGTGTCAAGGGAAAATCAGTACCAAGTGATCAGTGATAAAACATACCAGATAGAAAAGATGCTCAACATCACTAATCATTAGGGAAATGCCAATCAAAACCACAATGAGGTATAACCTCACACCGGTCAGAATGGCCATCATCAAAAAATCTAGAAATGATAAATGCTGGAGAGGATGTGGAGAAGAGGGAACCTTCTTGCGCTGTTGGTGGAAATATAAATTGATACAGCCACTGTGGAGAACAATATGGAGGTTCCTTAAAAAACTAAAAATAGAACTACCATATGACCCAGCAATCCCACTACAGGGCATATACCCTGAGAAAACCATAATTCAAAAAGAGACATGTACCACAATGTTCATTGCAGCACTATTTACAATAGCCAGGACATGGAAGCAACCTAAATGTCCATCAGCAGATGAATGGATAAAGAAGATGTGGCACATATATACAATGGAATATTACTCAGCCATAAAAAGGAACGAAATTGAGTTATTTGTGGTGAGGTGGATGGACCTAGATAGAGTCTTTCATACAGAGTGAAGTAAGTCAGAAAGAGAAAAACAAATAACCGTATGCGAATGCATATATATGGAATCTAAAAAAACGGTACTGATGAACCTAGTGGCAGGGCAGGAATAAAGACACAGACGTAGAGAACGGACTTGAGGACACGGGGTGCAGGGGGAAGGGGAAGCTGGGATGAAGTGAGAGAATAGCACTGACATATATACACTACCAAATGTAACATGGATGGCTAGTGGGAAGCTGCTGCCTGGCACAGGGAGATCAGCTCGGTGCTTTGTGACCACCTAGAGGGGTGGGATAGGGAGGGTGGGAGGGAGGCTCTAGAGGGAGGGGATATGGGGATATAGGTATACATATAGCTGATTCACTTTGTTGTACAGCAGAAACTAACACAACATTGTAAAGCAATTATACTCCAATAAAGATGTGAAAAAAGAAAACATACCAGGTAAAAAATCAAAGGCAACACCTAATATTAAATGACAATGAAGCAAGTCCACAGAAGTCAAGAGCATAAAATTACGACTCATGAATTTTATTTTCTGCCAAGTTGTCCTTTAAGTATAAAGGCTATTGGCAGTCATTCTTGAGCATAAAAAAACTAAGGGTTTGCATATTCTTGAGAAAAGTTCTTTATACTTAAATTCCGTCAACCAAAAAATGAATCAAAACAAATCAAGAGAAGACTTGAGGATTGAGAAAAACTGCTGAAGATGAGTTTTGCAAGGTTTTAAATGCAGAGTTAAGAGTAAACAGCTGTGGGATTGACAGTTAAAGAGCAAAATGTAAACATTGCAAACTCTTACGCTGTAAAAATAATTATATACCTAAGAAAAATTGGGATGGGGAAAAGGCAGTGGGAGAACTTGTAAGCATGTAAATTTACTCATCTGTAAGGACACGGAAATAATCACTCTGAAAAATGGAATGCATGAACTGCAGCTGTTTAAGCAAGCATGATTCCAACTTCTTGATGATTTTTATATTCGTTTTTCTTAACGGATACTTCAAGAATGTTTGTGGTACAGAAACATTTAGCTGAAGTTCAGCAATTCCTTCAATTTCATTTCAGTCTCTTTTTCTATAAAATTAATATAATCATTTTACTTAAAACTAATTGGCAGAATAAAATCCCAGTGTTGTCTGTTGATGTTTCTTTCGGCTCTGTTTCTGAGCACAGGGACCCATTGAGATAATATATTCCAAATGTCGATGGCTGTTTCTAGGAAGTGAGATTTGGGGCATGTTTTTTAAAAACTTCCTCTTTGTACTTTTGTGTTATTTTTATCATAAAAAGACCATGTATAAAAATAATAGTCACTTTCTGAGTAGTGTGGTAGAACAGTAAAATGGCCCCCATGACCTTTGTCCTCAGGTGTGACTCCTATGATTATGGTGTGTTACATAGCAGAAAAGGATTTCACAGATGCAATTAAGGTTACTAATTAGTTGACTTTAACATTGGGAGATGATCAGGGTGGGCCTAACCTAATCACATGAGCACTTTTATTTATTTATTTTTTTGCGGTACCAAGGTCTCTCGCCGTTGTGGCCTCTCCCGTTGTGGAGCACAGGCTCCGGACGCGCAGGCTCAGCGGCCGCGGCTCATGGGCCCAGCCGCTCCACGGCATGTGGGATCCTCCCGGACCGGGGCACGAACCCGCGTCCCCTGCATCGGCAGGCGGACTCTCAACCACTGGACCACCAGGGAAGCCGCCACATGAGCACTTTAAATGCTGAGAGTATTCTCTAGCTAGTAGCAGAAATCACAAGATTCAAAGCATGATGAGGCTTCAATGCAAATAGGTATACTGATGCTGGCTTATGAGATGGAGGGGGGCCACGCGAAAAGGCCCTGAGTGCAGCCTCTAGGAGCTGATAGCAACCCCTTGACAACAACCAACAAGAAAACCAGGCCCTCAGCCCTAGAACTGCAAGGACCCGAATTCTGCCAATGGCCTGAATGAACTAGGAGGTAGATTCTTTGCCAGAGCCCCCAGATAGAAGCCCAGCCTGGCTTGCACCTTGATTTCGGCCTTGTGAGACCCTAAGCAGGGAACCCATTTGATCTGGCAAGTTCTGACCTACAGAACCGGGGGATCATAACTGCTGCTGAAGTTTGTGGTCATTTGTTACACAGTAATAAAAAACCAGTGCAAGTAGCCAACATTTTTCTCCATGCCAGACATACAGAATCAGAGTCCTCACCATAAACGTCGGCATCCCCACACCCTCCTCACCCTTCTGCATTTGCAGAGCTCAGCGTATCTCCAGAAGCCCCAAATGATCTGTGAGAAAACGGACCACTTTGTATAATGACTGGAAGACTCCAGTTTGGGATTAGATGTTTGTGGAGGTGTTGAATCAGATTATGCCTTTTGCACCAGTTGACTTTTTAAACAACAATCAAAACATTGGTTTTAAATGGATAAATAGACAAGTTGGGGACAGGAAGCTGGAAGTGAAGAGGAGGAGGTTAGGAATGGGCAGGGTAGGAAGGCAGCCTGGTGGGAGGCCCAGTAGACAGGAGCAGTGAGAATACCTCTGTCGCACCTCATCTTTTTCTCCCAGTTCCATTCCTCAGAAACAATAATTTTAGCTTTTTAGATATTTCTTCTGGAGTTATCTATCTGTAAATAATATGCTTCTATCACTATTGATTGATTCGTTTTATACATTATTTTTTCCTTACATGATAAATAAGGATTTAGGTCATTTCACCAGTACCCCAACCCCTTCTCTTTATATAATTACAAAACTTCTTTGTTTTTCTATAGGTTACCTGTGTTGCACTGATACACCTTTATTTCTTGTTCCATCAGCTAAGGGTAGTATCTCTCTTTTTCTTTTTAATTTTTATTGGAATAT